AAGGCGCGCTCCGAATTTCACAGTTTGGGGTTTAGGGTTTAGGGTTTAGGGGTGCTTTCTCCAATGCTTCGACTCTAACAGTACTGAAAATAAAAAATAAGAAGAATTGTTGTGACAATGATAATAAGAGTAATAGTAGCAATAAGAATATTCACAGAAATGGCAAGAATAAGTCAGTAAGTGCAGTAACAAAAGTAACAATAATAAATAAGTGTAAATAAATACATAAATAAATATGCAATAGTAATAATAACCATAATCATAATCATAACAATAATCATAATCATATCAGTAATACTAATAATAGTAACAACAATAGTTTTAATCGTAATCGTAAGGTTCAGGGCTTAAGGCCAAGGACTTAGGAATCAGGCTTTAAGATCCATCATGCAGGCTGTACGCGACGACTACCACCATCACCTGCAACACAACCATCATCACCACCGCCACCACTTCTAAGTCTACTTCTCCCCAGTGTAAGAGGGACGGGAAAAGACTGCTGTTCAATTAACTGTATGTAACCATAGCGACCGACGAAGCAAGCAACTACGGTACACAGAAACCGACAGACCGACCAAATACCTGACGAACTGGTCAGCTTCATATCGCTTCAGTGTCACACAACGGCTATAATCGTTAAGGCACTACCCCCAGGGCCCAGATGTCGATCTTGGGCGTGATGACGTCTTCGAAGATCTCCGGAGCCATGTAGGCCCAAGTTCCCTTCTTCCTTAGGGCACACAAGGCACGCAGGTTGCTAGCCAGGCTCCTCCTTTGGCGGCTAGGCTGGGGTCTTGAAAGGTATATATTATATATCACACTGTATGACAGTATGATACCGTTTGAATCAGAACAACTGCGCTAAAGAAGTGATTTAGGACTTAGGCCATCCGGGGCACTTACTCTCGGCAGCTGAGCGGCGTCAGGCTGGTGGCGCTGTCTGGCTTGAAGACCTTCGGAAACAACTTGCTTGCTGTATCTGCTTATGGCCGCACATGTGGCTCGTGTCGATGCATCAATATGTACGTCCATTCGTGTGCACCTATATATATATATAAGCATATATATATATACATATACATATATGTATATGTATATGTATACTGGGATACAACTATACAAGGCGGCCATGGGGGGCATCTGGGCCTGAGGCTCCGGAACGCGCAACACCGTGCCAAAGTTTCACGATGCTAGTTTGGGTTTTAGGGTGTAGGGTTAAGGGTTTGGGGATTAGGGTCTAAACGGTTTAGGGTTTCACGAGCTCAAGAATTGCAAGAGATTGGCTTAGACTGCAAGAGGATCTTGAATATGATTTAACGGATATTCCTCTATCCAACGGGCAGCGGGTGCTCCGAATTTAAGACTATATCGTAAAAGAGCGTGGCTGAGGCCTTTTAAGCACACATGAGATCTTGTTCAAACCTTTGCAGGGACGAGAGGGCCGGAACCATTTATTTCCGGTGAGGTATCATTATATACACATGCATGGCTTGCTAAGCTCCGAAGCCGTGAAGTAAAACCTCTTGGCTAAGTTGGGCCAGGAGACGTCGGCTATTCCGAAGTCCGCCAACAGCAGGTGGGGTGGATGCTGGTCCTCGGCTGCGATGCACACGGTGTCGGCTTCAGCATTCAAGGTCTAGGGCTTAGGCCTTACATGGGGGAGGGCTATTCAACCCTATGGCAACCTCCTAGCATTTTCATCACAAGTGCTTCTGCCGTAATGTTCAGCCAACGCCGTAGCAGCAAAGCCTTCGAGCGTTGTAACCATCGGGGCTGAGAAAGAGACCTGACCCACATCCTAAAGCACAGCATTGAAACCCTGAATCCGGAACCCGAAAGCCCAAACCTGTTAGACTCAACCACTCGAGGCTCCAAAACACCCGAACTACCCCCAAAACCAAACTTAACGTGGCATCAACCGAAAACTTCAGCAAAACGGCAGCAAAACTCACATCAACAAGTGCCTTCCTAGGTGCCAGTCGCGTGAGGATCATGTTGGAGGGCTTCACATCCCGATGGATGACGCACTCGGAGTGGATGTAAACCTCGAGCGATCCGAGTGCTGCTCGGTCCCTGATAGGCTGGGGGTCTGCATTCATTCATCTTCTGTCGGATCGGAAGGATCCTAGAATCTTGTTGTGACGATTGGGGCTTTTTCAATGGCTTTCAGTCTCAACCGACTGACCGAAAAGCAGACTTCCGTCTCCGCCCCTTGAAGCAAAGATGTACACCTGCGGCCCGAAGCGAAGTGGATTCCCCCCATCCTCCCAGGAAGCCTCCGAGCCCCTTTGAGGCCGCGGGAGTGTCTTAAAGCTAGGGAGGGTTTAAAGTTTAGGGTTTAGGGTTTAGGGTTTAGGTACCTGGTAACCCTAGTTGTGAGGCGTCTTGGATAAAAATGATCATCCGGGTTAGCGTCGATGTTACGTTCCCGCTGTTTTTTTGAAACTCCCATGGTTCCTAAACTAAGCTTCCTTTCAGAAACCCTCAAAAGGCGCCCACGTCGGAGTCCTTGAATTCATCATGCCGCGGGGCCAGAGCTCTAAGCGCTTGATCCATGAGGAGCCGCACCGTCTTCTCGGCCAGGCCCTTTTGGCCCTCCTGAAGACTCTGGTGAAAGTCGGGCGTGTTTCGGAGTGTTTTGCTAAGGGTTCAGGATTGCAGGGTTTGGGTTTCGGTGCTGAGAAGGAACATGATACGATGATACCCACACAACCCTGATTCAACAATGAAGGCCCCTAAATTAGACCCTAAACCCTAAACCCTAAATTAGACTGCTGCAACGAGGGCCTCTAAGGGGTGGTGGAGTCCGGGGCTCAGAGAGCTTGGTCTTGAAGGACTCTCAAAAACTGCAGATGTTCGGTTAAGGGGTTTAGGGGTTTAGGGGTTTAGGGGTTTAGGGGTTAGGGTTAAGGGTTTAGGGGTTTAGGGGTTAGGGTTTAGTTGTCCAACTTTATACAGCAACTAAACTTTTGCCTACTCTACGACTACGTATCTCACAAGGTTTTATAGAAAGGCCTTCAAGAAGCTGGAAGATCTTCCAACGGTCGCGTTTGCTGGCAAGGCGCTCGAGTTGTTTGCTCTTCAAGCTCTCTCTCTCAACCTTAAAACAGCTTAAGCTTCATGCCCATGGGACCAAAACCCACAAGACCTAAAACCCCGTCACGCCAAAGCCCCAAAGACCAAAACAAACCACATCGTGATACTCCACAGCTCCTTTCCTCATGTTTTTGTTGTCGCTTGCATAGAATCAGCCAAACGCTCAAACGCAACTCCCCGAGAGCCACAGAAACCCGCCGAAGGGAGCTTGGCGCACCTTCCTGGCCCGGCGCAGGGCGCGATCCAGGTCGCCACCCCGGGCCCCCTCCATGACCTGTAGCTTCCCGGTTGGTTTAGGGTTTTCAGTGCTTGGGGCTTGGGGGCTTTAACCTCAATCGTATAACCTTCCTTCAGGGTGCTTCGGCTTCATGCTGGGTCTTGCAAGGGTAAAAACGATCGGCTTCAAGGGGTTCAAGGATCGTGTAAGCAGGGTCTAGCGGGCTTCGGAGTTAGACGTCTCCGAAAGCGCGCACTTGCTCAACCGGCTGAGGGCGCCGCAAGATAGAAGGAGTTCTCCGACCTCGACAACTCTCAACTTTTGGGGGCCTTTTGACGTGGGGTGTGGGGGCTACAGTGTAAGGCTAAGGGCTGAGGTTTAGAGTTCCGGGGTGTTGGGGAGTTAAAGGTTCAGGATTCTGGGCCTGGTGTGCTGAAGTTCGAGGTTAGAAGTTCAAGCTTTGCTGATTGTGCCTGGGGTTTAGATTCTCCGCCCGACATGCCTCTCTGATATAGAGGGATCTACGACTTTAGGTTCAGGCGGAAGAGTATGATCCGATTTCACCATTTGTCTAGTTGAGTTCGGCCGCCGCTCCACACGACCGAGGGTCCCGTATTGAACATTGAATCCAGAGACACCTGAAACTCGAACCCCAAACTGAAACTGAGGCTCGGATGCCTAAGCTGACATAGCACTCCAAAGCGCTGAAATTCAACACCACCAAAAAAACACCCTGGTGACTTCGAGACGTTGAGTGATCCAACACCGACCGGGCGGCTCGAACCACTCGAAGAGTCGGACTATGTGAGGATGATCGAGCTTCCTCAGCACCTGCTTGGAAAGCCAATAGCAGCCTCCCTGTTGTGCAAACTCTCTTCTAGGCGCAAGCAAATCGACAATGCGTAGCTCCACCCACCCAAATCTCGAAATCTTAACTTATATAACCATCCACATCTGGCAAAGGCCAACGTAGCAATTTGAAGGGTAGCCGCCAAACCTCAAACTCAAACCATGTCCCAACTCCACGGTACGAAAACAGCCCCCCGTGACGCAAGCTGAACCCTCCGCCCCTCGGGACTCCTCCATCTCCCGCTCGATTTCCTCTTTCGGCACCTGTACCCGTGGAGGCAGGACACCCTCAAACACTCTCAGGAACTCAAGATTCCGGGGGGGTTTGTTATGGACCCTGAATTAAGGGAATGTTTGCTGAGGGACATCTTGTTCAGGGCTCACCCGAGGGTCGGCCCGGTCGGCCCTAGCTCGCGGCAATCCTGGATGCCTCGCGACCCTGGAGCCCAAAGCCTCCAACCCACACCCAAACTGAGAAGTTCAGAGAACTAGGAGTCCTCGTTCTTGTCATTAAGAATATTAGGATCTGGGGTCTATTTTTTTCAAAAACTTCCACGTCTTCAATTTGGGGTTATGTCAGCTCTACAGCTTCATGAGCCTATGGACCCCCCTCATGTCATTAACGGCCAGGGTGGAATCCCGATTGGTATCTGGAGATCTGCGCTACTTGGAGTCGGTTACACCGGGACTCTCCTGACCTTCCAAGCCTCAAAAAAAATCAACAAAACAAAAATAGACAAAAGCTAGGAATGGACCCCGAGGACTCCTCAATTCCGCAACACCCCCACTATCTGGACCTCCATCCGCTCCTTCGGAATACGCTTGGCCACCTGAGACCGCAGCAAAACAAAAGATCCGGCCGTTGGGCGCTGTAAGGCACAGTTGTTCATGAACACTCGAGTCAAAAAAGACTCAGTTTGGGTTTTGGAGTTAGGGCTTGTTTGGGGTTGAAGGCTTTAGGGTTTTGGGGTTCAACGTTTTCGGGTCTAGGGCTTAATGGTCCTTCGCAAGGGGACTTTCCTTGCCTTTAGCCAGTTGCGTTGATCCGACCAAAATTTAGCCGCCCTGCTGGGAGAGGTGGGGAAGGGAAGGGGACCGTGAGCAAAAGCAGGGATGCGACGAACGCCCCGAAAGGCAGTCTGGTGCCAGGGAGAGGAAGGGAGGGAAGGAAACAAGGGAAAGAAGCGTGGCCTTCCTTGTTGGGTTCGGGGGACCTACCCAGAGACCCCGGAACACTTAATTATTGGAATATACCTTAGATCATACCAGGGTTACCATTACGTTTTAGATGAGGGGATTCGGAGTCTCTTGGAAGCTATAGTCTTCTGATCGAGACCATTGCTCCAATAGGAGGAACCTTTAGGCGGCATCAGACCCACTTCATATCAGAAGTAGCCCAAGAAGGAGCCAAACACCCGTGATTGAGGACATTCCTAGATTGGAGCCTAAGAGTTACGTGCTGCTTTGAAGACCCAAACATGGGTTGGTAGAACCGTCCATGTTGCCGAATTAAAGGCTCTCGGGCTCTCGGCATCTTCGGTTCTTGCCGACCGGGCGCTCGCTGTGTGCCAGCACGTTTGCTTTTCACCTCAGCGAGAATGGATGTGCGCAATAAGATTACGATTTGAAGAAGTTTAAGGAGTTTACTTATTGCGTGGTTCGCAAGGCTGAAAGCTTTCGTCATTCAGATAGTGGGCGAAGCAATCCAAATACACCCAAACCTCACGCCCTCTAAAGGCTTTTGTCTCTTTGAAGATAGACCACCCAAGATTTTCGTGGTGGCTTGAGGCTAAGGGGGACCAGGGTGCTCTGAAAGCATGGGGCTTCTAGAGCTTTATCAAGAGCCTCTGAAGTTCAGACAACGCAGAAATGGCCAACGAATAGCAGCTCAACATCGGCAGTTGGGTCCCCGGCCCAGAAACACTGGCCAAAGAAGCCACTCCCGACGTCCTCGAAAGACAGCAGGTGACTCCAAAGCCCCGTCGGTTGCGTGGCTTGCGACCTTGTAACCCTAAACCCTGAAACCCTAAACCGGACCTTTGCTGCGCAGTTTTCGGAGCTGGGGAGTTCAAGAGACTTCATGGACTCCCGGTTTCAACTCTAGACCGTGGGAAGCCTAGTCCGAAACTTCTGAGTTTCCAGGCACGTGAACAACAGGCATCGTCGGCTTCGGCACTCAATCCCGGGCTTCTGGGGCTGGGCGCTAGGATTTCCGGTGTTCCGGCTTTCAGTCGCATCTCAACTGTGACCGGACAATCTCAGCAAGAACCCCACGACGTCAGTAATTTGTCACAAGACGCGTAAGAAATAGTATCACCATTATTCCTGCCGGGCCCCGTACTCTGAGTTCTGCCGTTGCTAAATCTCTATTAGCATTACAAATGTTAGGCTATTTCGCTACCACTACTATGTGTCTTGCTCGCAGGTCTTCTACTTGTGGTGCTAGTACTGCTTCTCTTCCTAGTAGCTTCTAGTCTTATACTGACTAGGAGTCTTACCATTTGCTGCTAGCATCGCTCGTCCGGTCAGGACCCCGAAGTCCTCCAAGGCTTCGTACTCCTCCTCCAGCTGCCTCAAATACCCAGAGACTCGAACATCCCGGATTAAAGATCCTTTATGCAGACGTTTGAGAAGGGTCTTATACAATAGCTTATGAAAAAAAGATCCCTTATGAAAGGGTGCTCTACCAGCGTTTTGTAGGTGAGTTTATGGCTATTTACAGAAGCCTGGGAAGGATCCTTGTCATGTCATAATGTAAGGAATATTCGTGATTCTGATTTTTCAGGCTATGTACTGCAGTCTCTGGGCACGCAGATGCGCTGTGCGCGCATAACTCCAAGTCTAGGTTACCCGGTGCACAGCTTCAAGTCGAGGGCCTAGGCCAAAGAACGTGGGGTTGCTTATGGCGTACTCAGCATGTGACTTCATATTCCCAAGGCCCATCGTGGGGTCGGCTAAACCCTGCAACCCTAAACCCTTGAATGCCCCAAGGCACTTCCGGTTTTGCGTGACCATCTGGCCTCTCGGAGCTTGAGCTTGGGCGGAGGTTTGAAGACCTAGCGTCGACCTGGGCCCTACGGTAGAGTAGGGTACCTGTTGAGGGTTCTGGCCTCCATTTTGCTATGCATCATGTACGAAGACGTGAGCTGCGTCTAGGGAATTTCAAACAAGTACACCCGACATGCAACCTAAACCCTGAATCCTGCACACCAAGGCTCTTCTGACTCATGCAAACACACCTCGCAGTCCCTTCTTCCGACACCTGGCGAAATCCTAGACCCTAAACCCAAAGCCAGGAAGCCTTCTAAATTCTAAAAGTCGAATTACACAAACTCTGCAAGACGGCTAGACACTCCTATAGCAGCCCCGCTTCAGAACTTCAGTTTTTCTAGACCCTAGACCTTATACCCAAAAGCTGAGGCCGCAACCCCCTAAATCCGAACAAGAACCCTAAAACCCTAGATGAACCCCCAAAAGGTACCCCAAAACCCTTGAAATAACCCCCGAAACCCCGAAGTGACGGCCTCGCCCCACCCGCACGCAGTAGGAGTCCCGGATGCGGCGAAGGACTTTCACCAGCACGGCCTGGAAGACCTCCAACGAGATCCTGAGCAGTGCTTTAAAAGGGGTCCTTTCAGGGATCCTTGAAGGGTTACATAAAGGTACTGTGTTTAGGGCTTGGGGTTTGAGAGCCTCGAAATCTTGGCTTAGGGTCGTTAGCTTAGAGCTTCGAGCCTGCTTAGGAATCAAACTGTAAGCCCTAAGCCCTAAACCCTAAAACCAAAAACCCCCAAACCCCCAAATCCTAAATCCCTAAACCCTAGACCCCTAAATCCCTAAATCCCAAAAGCTCGGTGGGTTTCTTTAATTTTGAGGCCCTGTCTACTCCGCTTCTCGTGATCGGAATTTCGGCTCCGGGGCCCGGCTCTTCGGGGTTTTGGGGTCCGAAGGCTCGACGGTTCTAGGGGTTTAGGGGTTTAGGGCTTAAGGGTTTTAGGGCTTCAGGGTTGTAGGGCTTTAGGGTTTTAGGGTTTTAGGGTTTAGGGTTTAGGGCTTAAGGATTTCGACGATTTGTGGGAAGGGCTCTTTCGCTTAAGACGTCGGGTCCTTGGTTCTGGATTTCCGGGCTCGTTTTTCTTACAGCTGCCTGGTTTAGGGTTTAGGGTTTTAGGGTTTCAGGGTTTTAGAGTTTAGGATTTGGAGCTTTAGGGTCAGAGGTCTAAGGTCAGGCCTTTGGGTTTAGGCTTCAGGCTTCCGGGTGTTCCTTCCGAGGAGCGTTTCAGGTCGCCGGCTGAACTGCATCTCCCTCCGCAGGACCGTCCAAAACCTCGCATCTCGCGAATAGTGATGTAAGTGCATATATATATATATGTACACACATACATACATGTATATGTCTGTATATGGACTCCAAAATCTGTGTAATATGAAGGTACATAAATGTATAGATACACATAAATATATATATATACACACACATATATGCGTGTACGAAGAGAGCGATGGAGAGAGAGAGACCCGAAACTATAAGTAATACAAAACATGAAGTTGCACATGTATATACAGAGAGAGCAAACAGAAAGCCAATCAAGCATGTAGGAATACCGGGCCGGAATGCTTTCGGAGTCTGCTATGCAGCGACCCACGATAGCTTGTTCTGACTAATCTTACTACAGCTATCGCTGTGATCTCTCTCGAGGTTATGGTCACAGTCGCCAGTGCGACTAGTGTCCTTACCATGCTCACGACCGTTTCCATGCTTGCGCATCCTCCCGCCTTTGCTGCCAGCATGACCATAACTTCCATAAGCACCACTACAAATCACCAAAAGCATAAGCACCACCACGACCAGGACGACGACTGCTCGCTGCCATTGCTAGTCTTGGCTTGGGCTCAGGGCTCGGAGTCCAGCATCCCTCAATCAGGGAATGCTGGACGCAACCCAGGTTCAGGAGATTCGACTTGGACCGAAAGCCTCCGACTCATGGCATGAGCTGGGTGGCAAGGACAGATGCTGGGTCGGAATCTGCAGGTACTCCAGGACCTGCGTCATGGACGCAAGGGGCAGCTCGCTCTTTGTCAGCCGCTCGCTGGGATTCCTCAGATCAACTCAGGCTCGACACAGAAGCCGAGTGTTCTTCTGACCGGTATGGGGACCCCGCTAGTAGTTTTGAAAGTTTAATGCAGGTACCCTAAACCCTAAACGTGTTTAGGAACATGGTATCACGCTGGGGCCGCAGCCTAAAACCGAGCACTTGGGGGCTTCGGAGCTGCTTTCGACGAACAAAGAACCGAAGACTCCCTTCCTCGGAATCTCCTCTGTGAGCTGGGGGCTTAGGATTTTGGGTTTTAAGGTTTAGGGTTTAGGGTTTAGGGTTTACTGCTGTACTAAAGCTACCAAACATACTCATCTCTACAATCATAACATGCAGCGACGAGAACCTCCCTCGGTCTCTCTTGCAATTGCGCTGAATACGAACACAAGGCAAGCCCCACCGAGGGCCCAAAGCCTACCCCTGCGCTGCATTAAAAAAGTAAATCGGTGCCATGGTGCAGCGCCTCAAGGGTCCCGGGGGTGAGGGATCCAAAAAAAATTTGATAAGGATCAAAATAAATTTAGAACTCGAGGATCAAAAAAAAAATAAGGATCAACAAAAAAATTGCCCTTGGACGGGACCACGGGACCACGGACCACCGGACCAGAGGACCCCAAAGGACCACGGGACCAGGGAACCAGAGGACCACAGGACCAAGGGACCAAAGGACCACGGGACCAGGGGACCAGAGGACCGCAGGACCACGGACCACCGGACCGGAGGACCGGAGCCTGTCAGGACTCGAGCACCAGGCGAGGCCTTGGGCGCAGAGGGCAATTTTTTTGATCCTTGTCAAATTACTTTTTGATCCTTAGGTAAATTTTTGTTGATCCTTATCAATTTTTTTTTGATGCCTATGCCGGTCCCTCATTGTCCTAATTTCTATTCACAGTATCAAAACTATTAAAAACAATAGGACTTTTTTAACTGTAAGTCGTATGAGTATTCGTCACTGTTTATTGTCGATTATTGCCACTCTTATTCTTAGTCTCTTCAGTATTATATGATCATCAGCATTGTGACCCCGTGGCCTGAAGCAAGCATGGGAATAGGAAAACAACGACCGCTTGCTCCTGTAAGAATGCGACGAGCCTCTGCATATCAAGACTGGCTTGCCGATGGCAATGCTGCCGAGATGTTTCAAAATATCTGTGACAAGAGTCTGCAATGCGAACTTCTGGAAAACGGTCGTGCTGTTTGGCGTACGCATCGGGGCTAGCGATGGCTGCCGACACACGGTGCACCTCGATCACGGGCTCTGACTCGAAGGTTGCAGAAAGCATTCCATTCCAACAGCAGCCTCTGTACATGATATGAAACACCATATTGAAATATCAAACAAAGAACTTGTTCTCTAGATCATCGGCCATGCTACGACCTTAGCCATGCAAGAAGCTAGCGTGCCACGCCATCCTTCCTAAAAACAAGCTAGGGCTTGGAGTTCAGGGTTAAAGCTTTAGGGTAGAAGGATTCGGTCACCTGCCTGCTGGACATCGCTAAGACAAAATAGAAACACTGAAAATACCTCCGGAGATTTCAGCTTTGCACCAAGCGGGCGAGCCTCAAAAACCAAACTATGAAGCTTTGGCAACTGAAGGCCTAGAAAGCGTCCTTTCTGTCATGCTCCCAAACACCGCAAATCAACTGAACCCTACGCCCACAACCCTTTCAGTCGACGCCGGCACCAAGGCGATGTGCTCGGGATCCTCGAAGACCTCGTGGTTCAGCGGAGGGTACTGCGGACCTGGGTCCAGAGCTGCCAGGGCTATTAGTGGCAAAGGTACCCAGAGATCCCAAGGGGCCCCGTCATTGAGGAATTCACCTTAAATCAGAATACTAAGACGCCTACAGATCAAAAGTATATTCCCTTCCCTAATTAAGGAACATGGGGATCTCCGAGTAGAGGTGATACAGGTCAAGGTAAAAGCAGCGGTAGGTATGGTACTGGTACTCGAAGTGGTAGTGCTGACAGCGTGGCGGCAGTGGGATCGTCGTACTACTACTACTACTACTACTACTACCACCACTGCTACACTACTGTTGCAAAACTCACCCTTTTCCTTGAAACTCCAGGGCTGCAACGGATAGTGCGAATGATCTGTCCATGGGGTGATTCTTGTTGCACCCCGCCTCGGCTGACTGGTCCTCCTATCTACAGACCCGTCAGCCGCTCGAAGAAATCTAAAATCATCACCCCCCGAAGCAGTCACGGCACGCAGTGTAAACCCTTATCTGAGAATTACGAGTGTGACTGCAGCCGGGAAGGTGATACCGCGTTCCGCGGCTTGCGGTGACGTGAATTGTCTCAGGTTCACGTCGCACCCTCAGCCTATCGACTACCTCTTGAAGCCTTCGGCACTCGGCCCTTGCCTCACGCAGGGCCTTCTCAAACTCCTCATTTTCACGGCACTTTTGCGCCAAAAGCGCTTGCAACTCTGTACACCTATTGATGTACTCCTCACAGAAGCTCCTCTCACTTTTGCTCATGCCGAGGCTTGCTTGCACATGCTTGTCGTAGCTGGCCGCCTGTGGGCTCCCGGCTTCTGTTGGCACCTTGGCTGCCCTCTCCTCCGACACTCGGAAAACTCTCCCCAAGCTCCACTTAAGCAGCTTGAAGACACCGTAGGGCAACCCGAACACCACCACTAACACCAGCAATCCCACCAATGCTGTCACGGCCAGCGCCACTAGATCCTCTGGCTCCCACGTAACCCAGCTCAAGCCCTGGGCTCCTTCAACTTGCGTAAGCATGAGCAGCATGGGCAACACAACCTTGATGTTGCTCACCTTGGCCCCGGCGTTCGTGAAGCTCTTGAGGGCCTGACTGAGGGCCCGCTTCTCGTCCGCTGCTTCCCTGTCCGCTTGGCCGTAGGGGTCACCTCCAGGTAGTAGAGCTCCCATTGTGAACATAAGTTCGCGGATGCGTGGGCCACCAAGAGGCTTCGTGCCCACGTCGGCCGGGTTGAGAGCCCCGGCGATCGGCCCCACTGTTAGCTCACACCTTTTCACATAGCTCTGGATCCATAGAGACCCAGCGTGGAGGTGTCTCACACGGCCACAGCCGAGCCTCTGGCTGATGGCTCTTGCGGATGCGCTGTCGCTCCTGCACCTGATCTCGATCTCAACCTCCCCGTTGGCCAAGTATCCCAGGCAGTCCTTCAAGTACAGCGCCTCGCACGCACCGCCCAGAATTGCCACAAACTCGCTCTCGGCCGAACTTAGGGCAATGGCCTTCTGGGTGCGAACGGCCGAGCCCACCAACGACCCAGCCACGAAGTACTGCATTGAGCTGCGGCTCCGGCGTGTCCTCTTGCAACCGCCCCAGTCAGCGTCCGTGATGCTTTCTAGGATCACCTTGAAAGGCTCGCCACACTTCTCAGCCAGCTCTTCTCTTCCTTCATAGGAGAAGCAGGCACCGTTGCGGAGGGGCTTAATGATAAAGCCAATTTCCGGAGTGGAGAGCAAGTACCCAACCACCCGGTGCAACCATCTCATTGACATTGCCGTCGGGGAACTCATTCTTGAACTCAGGATATTCACGGCAAACTGCACATCTGCTCGGGAGTGGGCAAGGTACAAAAGCCTGCCCACCGATTCCTTGTAGAGCTTCGCGTCGGCTGCGTTGAGCTCGCGGCTGGTGTCCTGCTCGAAGAAGGAGTTGTCAGCAGGACTGTCCCGCGGCTTCACCTTGGGCCCAAGCGCGGCTCGCAAAGCCTCCAGGTACCTGCTGTTCGAGTACACGGCCACACCCTCAGGCACCCTAACATACTTCCGCTTGAGGAACGAGATGGCATCCCCAACCTCAAGCAACGGGGAGTCAACCTGCAAAGTGACCTTCGCCCCAAACGTGGCCTCGAACTTGGCTCGCTCGGCACGGGTGCTGGCGAGGAGACCGTCATCTGCATGGAGTATAAGGGCGGTGTCGTTGCCCTCCTCTTTGCTCCTGAAAAGGGTCGGCTCTTTGACGAAACTCTCAAGGCCTGCCTCGTGTAAAATGTCACGGGCATACCCATACCACGCTGAGGCTCCAATCCTCTGTCCCGGCAGGAGCTTGTCCAAAACCAGAGTCACGGTTCCCGGCGCGTCCCCGCCGAACATTCTCTTCTCCACTTGTATTGTGACCGGACTTGGTTGCGGGACATTCAGGTAAGCGTCTTTCACGTCGATTGTTGTAATTTCCAGCCCCTTTGACAAAGCCCACGAGATGAACATGTGGACGGTCGCCAGGGTCGAGGCTGGCGCGAAGAGCTCTTGCGTGTATGCCGCCATTGTTCTGAATTCGCGGCCCACCAAGCGGCTGCGGCGCAACCACCCAGGCCGCTTCCTCCAATCACGAACGACTTTCGTCGTGAGCACCTGGTACCCACTAACGTCCTCGCCCTCGGCTGGCCACCGAGCCACGCCCATCTGGATCAGCCGTGTGATTTCCTTCTTGTCGGCTTCGCTGTCAACGAGGCGCAGCTCATCTTCACTGAGTTCCGGCGGGCTCTCGCCGTCCTCGTCCCACCAGGCCTCAAACTCACCCGCCAGCTCGCTCTCCTCCGCCATTGTCTCGCAAAGGTCCTCGCCCCACTCGTCATATCCAGCCAGCTCTTCAGGAGGAATATCACCGTGGACCATCGCGATACCTGCGTACCCTGGGGGATAGAGCTGTCCTGGTGGAGCTGTCGGCACACTCTGCGGGCTGCCCTGTGGCCTGTCAAGCAGTAAGCGTGCCCTCTTGGGCGTCGTCCCCCCTTGTGGTGGTTCATCACGTGCGGCCGGTGGCCTGGACACATCCTGCATGTCACTCGCGCCCGGTGGCTGTGGCTGTCCTGCTGATTCCTGGTGTGTGTCCGGATGTTGCTGCTGTCTCCTCTCATCACCTAGGCTTCTTTCATCTCGCCCCGGTGGCTGTGGCTGTCCTGCTGATTCCTGGTGTGTGTTCGGATGTTGCCGCTGTCTCCTTTCATCTCTTCGGCTTCTTTGGTCTCCTCCGGCTGCTGTGGCTGCTGTGGCTGCTGTGGCTGCTGTGGCTGCTGTGGCTGGCAGTCCCGACCTCGGCAATGAGATTGCTCCTGGTGTCCCCGAGGAAGAGGTCGAAGACGAAGTTGGCGATGTTGGCGGGTCCGACCCCGCCTCGTCACGAGTATTGGCCGGCCCTGGGGTTGCTGCGGCTATCGTCTCCGCCGCGGCCTTACCGGCCGCCTTAGCCAACTGCTCTAACGTCGCCCCGTCTGGCAACAATGGCACCCGCGATCCAATCGAGGAGTACAGTGGTCGTTTGCGGCGGGAGGTGCCTCCATAGCACCATGGTAGCCCCTTCATCGACACAACCATTTCCGCATCCCACTGTTCACCATCTGGGAGCCTCCTCACGCTTCGGCTTTCCACCACTCCAGTCGGGGTGCCAAGGATATGTGCACCATTGCGTTCATTGATGCCGATCCACAGTCCTCTGTCCCATTGCAAATCCCCCTTGTGCCTCGAGGGGCGAAAGAATATACACTTCTCGCCAAACGGCAGGAGACGGCCCTTGAAGCGCCGACCAAACATGATCTCATACGGTGGCGCTCCTCGGCCCCCGGTGGAGAACCGATTGTAGAGAAAAGAGGCGTGTCTGTTCAGCCACGCGAATATGTGGTGGTGGCCCGAGACCTTTGCCCGAATCTTGTCCTCGAGGTAGCTCCGGAGGGTCAGGCCGCCCCGCCTGACTGTGTCGATCGCCTTCTCCACCTGGCCGTTGCTGGCATGCGACCCCTTCTCAATCAGCCTTGTGTTCGTGACCAGGCCCAACCTGCCTCTGCAGGCCTCGGTGGCATTGAGAACCTGCTTCACTGAAGGCTCTGGGTCACCCTGCAGCAGGATCGGCTCGCTCGGGCTAACATGGAGACTCAACCGCACAAGGGCCTCCGTGACGCGTTTCAAAGAGCCTGCGCCCTTCTCCAGCACAGGCAGGCACGTAATCCATCCTGTTGTGCTCTCTGCTGCCACCATGCACAAGCCAAACTGGTCCCTGTAATCAATGGGCTCCTCGGCTGGCTGGTCGCCGGCCGCGTCTTGCTGTCCTTGATCATTGGGCTCATCTTCTCCATCTCCGGCACCATTGGGACCCTGGGCTTGCGCCTCCTGCTCGCCGTCCTGCACCTCGTGCTTCTGCTTGGTGAAGGTATAGGCATAGTCGATCTGGATCATCGGCTCGGGCCTGGCGTGCGCTGCCACCTCCTGTTC